GGGGCTTTCCTCCAGCTTGTTGGCAGAGCATCTTCAATGAGAGTGAGGACTTTGTGCGGTTGAGGGGGTGGTGTATTACCCAGACCTCAAACTGGGACCTGTTATCTGACAAAAAGAAATGTCTTAGGATAAGCTGTTTAAGATTGTTTGCTCTGCTGGCAAATCTAGTCTGCTTGGTCTCTTGACATAGGGTGGAGACAGCATGGAGGAACTAAAGGTCAGTTTTAAAAACAGTGGAACAAAAGTCAAAAGACCTGGGTTTTAGTCCCAGGAAGGCCACCTCCCAGGGTGGTGGGTATTGTCTCTAGACCTGTTTTCTCACTTGCAAAATGAGGCATTAGATTATATGAGTCTAATGACCTTTCAACCCAAACCTCTACCTGTAAATCCTCTAGTGATTTCCCCAATGAAGTCTCCTTCTCTGACCTCACTTCCTCACCCCAAACCCCAGGAATAAATTATTTTTATTGTAAGATCAAGGTTATTTAAGCTTTAGAGAGAGACTTGATTTGGAGATTTATAAAGTTGGTTTCGGAAATTTTCTTTAAGTTGACATAGTTTTACTTTGATGTGGAGAAAAGGGTAGACAGACCTCTTAAGGCAAGATCAGGACCAGTCTTTTCTTCAAAATGAACTATTTGAAGGACCACTGATCCCGGAAGAGGGAGGAGGAAGAAAGACAGGATTCCCGGGAGAGTTTGTCATGATTTTTTTGAGCAGGACAAGACCTGTGTGGTAGCTACTGTGCATCATGACTGCTGTGGCTCATGAACCATACAGCATGATTTTCACAGTCTGGGGACAAATGGCTGCCTGGCTGACAGCTTAGGGTGAGACCATTTGTGCAATAGAACTGAGTGCAAGAGAGGCTGGGGTTAATTTCCTTCCAGGAGAGAGGTCTTGAGTGTAATGCAAAAGGATAAAAATCTTCCAGACTGGTCTTAACATGCAACCAGAGTGCTTAGGGATCTTGTTGCTGTGCAGAGTCAGGCTCAGCAGGTCTGGGTGGGGTCTGAGAGTCTCCATCCTGACGGGCTCCAGGCTGGTGCTGCTCAGTGGGCCACGCCCCTCATACTTTGCTAACCTTGGACTGCCTGCCTGGGCTTCAGAATGACCTGTAGGCTTGTTAGAAATGCAGAATCTCAGGCCCTGCCCAGACCGACCAAGTCAAGGTCCACAGGGTAACAGAATCTCCAGGTGACTCAGATGTACATTCAGGTTTAGGAAACATGGCTCTAGAAAGTGTGAACTGTCAGTCACATCCTGGGGAGTGAAGTGGCTTGAATGACAGCCCCCAAAACATATGTCTACATCCAAAGCCCTGGAATCTGCGGATCTGACCTTATTTGGAAAAAAGAGTCTTTGTAGATGCAGTTAAGAATCTTGATGAGATCACCCTGGATTACCTGGGTGGGCTCTAATCAAATAATAATTTTCCTGATGACACAGAGGAAGGGTTGCAACAGACCAGAGAGGAGGAGGCAATGTGACTGCAGAGCCAGAGATTAGAGGGATGGGGCTACAAGTCAAGGAGGCCAAGGAAAAGCTGGAAAGGCCAGGAAGGATTCTCCCCTAGAGCATTTGAAGGAGCGTGGCCTGGCGGATGCCTTGATTTCCACCTTTGGCCTGAAGAACTGTGAGAGAATACATTTCTGATGTTTTAATCCTCCCAGCTTTTGGCAATTTGTTATAGCAGCCCCAGGAAACTGATTCAGGGAGGAAGAGCCACCCCGCCTCTGGGCAAGAGCCTGTCATGTAGGAGGGAGTGGGTACCGCAGCCTCCCCAGCTCAGAACAAAAGGGCCTGTGAGGCTGCTGCGCTGGGGACTGCTGCCCAGAGCGATTTGGAGAGGGGACTGGGGATTGTAATAGCAAGACGAGGGAGGTAACAGAGGTTCGGAAAGAGTGAGGAAATGTGGCAGGTGGGTCTGCAGAGGAAGAAGAAAGGACAAAAAGCAAACCCTCTGGGAGAGGGCGGCAGGTGTGGGGCCGGGACACAGGGCAGGTCCCACAAAAGCCCCCGAGCAGAGGCCTCAGTGCTCAACATGAGACCGGCTGAGCGGTGCTGCGGAGCCCTTGCGTGGAAGGCCCTGCAAACCACCCATGAGAAGTAGGAATAGAATGAGACCCAAGAAGGAGAACCAGGGACAATTGTATTGAAATATGATGAAATGTGCTGTTTTGATTTATTTGTAAATAGATTTACAAAATATGCACAGTGTTACCTCTCTTGGTAATAAGTGGGCAGCACATGTGATCATCAAGGGCAAAATACCATATTCACGGTCCTTATGCATGTGGGCGGATTGTTAAGCTAGGAGACATGCTTCTGAAAGACGGACTCTTTGAGGCTGTGCATTTCATAGGATCAGCTTTTTGGCTTCCATGAGAAAAACGTTCATGTCCTCACCAACCCAGAGACTGTGGAATCTCAAGGGGCAGGGGGGCCCTAAGTTCCATGCAGTCCAGCTCCGGAATGAGCAGGAACCCCTCCCCAGGACCCCTGAGAGAAGTGCCAGGCTCCCTGTGGTTGGCTCTGTTTTTGTTTTAAAATGTGTAGCCAGTTCATTCAGTGTCTCAGGCTGATTCCTGTTATAAAATGTGTGCGAGTGATACCAATTAGTTTTGTGAATCTATTAGAACTTCTCTTATTGGTGCAAAGATTCTTCCCTCATTCACCCATCAAAAATGTATTGTGGCCATGCCGTGTGTCAGACAGTAAGGTGAATAAAACATGAAGGGCTAGGAAAACATAGTGAATGATTTAGCTGGACTCCTTGTATAGCCAGATCAACCACTGCTGGCTGGTGGTTGGAGAGGCACCAAAGGCCCAAGGCACTGGTTTGGGACTTATTCCCATGATGACATAGCTGGTCAGAGCTAAGGGGCAAACATTCGTCAGTATTCTCAGTACCTGATTTTCTGCCACTCTGTCCCCCAATTTTAATACCCATACCAAAGAAAACTTACAAACATTTATATTTCTACTACATTTTATTTTACAAAGGACCAAATCCCATGTTTAGTGGGTGTAGCATACAGGAAAAAAATCTTAGATTTGGGGATAAGTCAGGGGGTTCAGATTTCCAGCTAAGAGAGTGTGGGCAAGCTACTCTTTGAGAATCTTTAATCCTCTGCAGAGTGGGGAATAGCTTGCATAACTGTTGTAAGGTTTACATGAGCTAACCTGGCTGTGGTAAGCACTTGGTGGTGGAGAGCTCTTGGTTGTGGCATCTTAATGATTTATAACAATTCTTTTCTCTTCACTCTTGCCCCAAGGAGCACCCACAGAGATATGTCAGCCGCTCCTTCACTGTCATGGGCAGGGATTTCTCTAAAGAGTTTGCTGCTCTGCTTATTTGATTGCTTCTAGAACTCTATGAGCAGTGAAAGCAGCAAGCTGCACAGGGCAAGTGGCATTGGCCAGGGAAGGTGTTCATTTCAGCAGGGAAGGGAGGTAATAGTGAGCAATTAGTGATCAATTTGTTTGTGTATGAAACCAAGGTCATTCAGGAAAAAAGATGACTTGTTCAGCAATGCCTTTGGTTTGCCCATACTTTCAAATAGGGCATAAAGAGATTATTTGTGAGTGAAATGTGTTCCATGAACATCCTCGTGCCCCTGCAGCCACAGTAAGTTAGGGCTACATGCAGACCTGTTAGTGTTTGGAGCTTGCCGTCAGCCAGTTGGGTGCACAGTGGGTGCCCAGATCCTTCAGTGACCAAATTGCATGTTTGATCTGAAAATGAGATTGTCTTATACATTCAGTTTATTATCAGAGCTGAGATACAAAGGGGAAAAATGATCTTATGTTTATGAAGTGAAACAGTGTAAAATGAGAGCACTGGAAATGACTGTAGAACTCCTCTGCTGGAACCCGTATTTACAGATGGGTCCACTGAGGCTCAGATTCTTCAGAAGATGCACAGCTATGAAGGGAAATTGGGCTGGGTGAAGTCAAACAGCTCCTGGACTTGGAGCTGGGATCTCCTGGGGGGAGTCCTAGATGTGGCTCTTAATGCACAGCACAGAACAAACCACTGGACCTCCCTGTTTCCCCATTGGTGAAATGGAAATTTCTCTGCCTTTCTCATTGGGTGTTTGGGTGGACAGGGAGTGCAAATGAAATGATGGATGTGAAAGGGATTGATGTTAGAGGCCTTAAACCATGGCCCACCCAGCTCAGGGAGGATTTTGGTTGGCACTGTGTTTTAAGAGCATTGAACTTGAATGCCTTTAGGTGTGGCATTCTCCCTTTCTCTCAGAAGTTCCACTTACAGCTGGCCTGATCATCTAGTTTATGCTATCTGCCTGGCTCCTCTAAACATTCTGATTTGGGTCCCCTTACAATGTAGGTACCACTGTACAGGTAGGACCACTTCATGTGTGGGTGAAGTAGGTGCTGTCATTTTAGGGGAATCTGGAAGCCACCACATCCTTCCCCCCTCCTCTCCTACAGACCTAGCTTGCTGATACCTATAGTTATTTTGGGAAATTCTCTGGATAAACAAAAAACCTATGTTGGGAGGGAAGATAACATTTTGAGCCTTAGCTATGCTTCATAAGTTAAGCAGATATGAAGAAAAATGGAGTGGAGGTTTTGATAACGGCACCTGAGACATTGACCATGTGTGTTGGAGTACATGTGGGTAGGAGAGAGAAACTTTACCAAACAGGTAACAAAGGGATACAAATGGATGGATGGGGAAATTTACCTGTGCAATGGGGACAATATCTGCCTTCTACCATTGCTGGGAAAATTAAATGAAATGATTATGTAAAGGCTTAGTATATTAAGAAAGTAACTACAGTTACTATTTTCTTGGTCCAAAGGAATGAATACTTTCACAGTAAACTAGAATGGGAAAGAGGCAGATGGGTGATGTATTCTCAGCTACTCATCTATCTGAGTTAGCTAGGTGTGACAAGGAAGCCCATGTGCTTCAAGGTTATTCTTATAATAATTCTTACAATTATATTCTTAAAATGATTGTCATTTGTTTTGCATTTTGAAGTGCTTTCTTGCTGGGAGAGCGGGGCAGAGTTTATACCTAGTGGGCTGGGCATGGTGACCAGGCTGCCTTGCCTAAATGCATGCTGCTTGTCCGGTTGCCCTGATGGGAACAGGGTATGGCCCTTGACTCCCTGTAGGCAAGTCCTGCTATATGCTGCAGAGAGGAAATGAGGGAGTTCTCTCAGGGAATTCCTGTCTGGGTTGAGCCCTTGGAGGGTTGAGGTCTTGACTTGAGTGAAGTCCAAGTGAAAGCACCACAAATTCCATTCAGCTCATTACCCTGACAAAGTTTAATTTAGCAAGTTTTTCTGCAAGTAGGGGCAAGAGATTCAGTCCCAGAGCCCAAATGATAAAGGAGATTGAGGAGGGTCCAGCTAGCATTTCTTTCAGTTGGCTTACATGGAATACTAACACCACAACTAGTCCACAGCACTGCTTAGAAATAAAAAGTGACAACTTCCAACTGACATTTCTCATCATGTGGGCTGTCCTTGAATGTGATTCGTCTCCACTTTAGACAGAGAAGAGAGGGATGTCAGGGCAGATGGGGATGTCCAGTACACCCAAGGACAGGAGGGTACAATTGTCATCACAACTTGACAGAGATAGAGCATGCATTTCACTGAAAACTTACTTCTTTGGGAATGGGTGAGAACAGTCCACAGCATATTCAAGAGTGATAATTAAGTACTTAACAATGAGGCAAAATTCTGGAAACAGGATTTTCAAACATATGTTCAGTCTAAGGAAAACTCAGTGGTATTCTAAGTTCTTTAGACCAAATCTATACAAACATATGGGGTTTGTCAATACAGGCCAAGCAGAGTGAGAAGCTGAACAATTACCCAGGTAATTTGATTCTGGGAGAGTTTTCTTGGAGCATTCAAACAAGCACTTCCCTTCTTTCTGTCCTTCCCCCACCACCCTGGCTTTCCCCCCAGCAATTTTTGTATCTGCTTTGTCTCTAAACAACGCTATCAACCTTTCATTTCACTTTGACTGTACAGACATAGGCCTTGACTACATACGTGCATGTGACATACAGCAGGTGTTCCAAGGGGACTGGATGGGTGCAGTACACTCACCCAAAGTCTGTTTCTCCTCTGCTGTGCGGCTCCAGCAGAGGCGAAGTACAGTGAGCGTTAATAACTGTCGAGTGAATTAACCTGGATACATTAAATCTCAAATCCTGGCCTTTCTTTCAGGGGTCTGAATTATTTAGATGATTGTCTAGGCCTAACAGACATACTAAGTACAAAGGTGTGTTTCTGTGTATGTTTGGACCATTTAGATGATCCAAATAATTCCAAGTTCAAAGGTTGAACTTGAACTCTTAGAACGCCTGCCTCCTCTTTTACTTGATTCTGGGGTCAGCTAGAGCAGGCAGGAGTGTCCATTCAGTCCTGACCTTGAGAGTCTGGGTGGTGTCAGAATGGGGGCTGGGGATGGAACACAAAGGAGAGAAAAGGGCCCCTTCTCCCAAGGAGCTTACACCGTCATTTTATACTCAGCTGTTGCCCTATTGCCACACAGTTCGTTGAAAAGACAATTCAGATGTTGAGTTGGCAGTTGATTCAATGGCAAACATTTACGTATTTTTAATGAGTTAATTAAGTGAAATTAGTTTTTCAGTTTTTAAATTGGTATCCGGTAAATATAGTCATACTGACTGTATAACACAAAGAGGTATTTGGAAAATTAACTCATTTGATTCCCTCTAGAGAGGGAATGTGCTCCAAGGTATGTGTTTCATCCATATAATGATTCAGTAAACTAGATAACTGTTAGATCTGTAAGGTAATTTGTTCAATCTGAGGTAGGATAAAAAATGATTGCAGGGGTTCTACACTGACCATGTTTTTTTTGCTCTGTTGCCTTTGGCTTTTGGGGTCCTGCGGAAGAAAGGGAGGGAAAAACTGCTGAGGGCGAAGGATGATGGAACAGAAGGGGTGGGTGCTCCTTAGGAGTTTGAACCCAGGGGGATGTAGAATTAGGTATATACTTAGAGGGCTTCCCCTCCGCCAAATCACTGAAGCCATTAAAAGAGTTAATAGATGCCGTGTTTTAAAGTTATCTCTTGGTTAGCAGCCCTAATGGAGCCAACTAATAATGCAACCATAAAACAAGAGTTTTTATTTGAATTTGAAATGCATCATTTGAAATTTTTTTTCCCATAGCAGATATATAGTCCTAATTATATTTCACTCAAGCTATCACTAAATTACCTTTTATTACTTGAATCTACAACTATTGTAGCAGGGGTAAATGCCTGAGGTGTGAATTGAGAGACTGGGTAAGGATAGCCTCTGATTTAACCTTTGTCACAGACAATCACATGTGGATAATCAAGAGCTGCTGATTGGATAAAAATCATAGGAAAAGGCAAATGCTGAATTTGTACACATTTCTCCAAAGATTATAAAATGTGGCAGTCCTTAGCCATACCAAAAGCCAAATCAAAGCACTTTTATTCACACTAGCAGGTATGTTTGGCCCCAAGTACCCAGGTACCCTGGCCTTTCTAATCAACGTGTGTGCTTCTGCCCCAGATATAAAATGCTCACAGGGCAGGGCAGTGGAGATTCTGTGGAAAGCCAGACATATTTCACTGATCTTTTCCAATGCATGTTCCATGGCATTGGGCCTTCAGGGTTGTAGTTTTCTCACTGACCTTTTCCCCTGCAAACTCTTGGCCTCTGGCAGTCTGGTTCTCTGGTTCGGACAAGATCAGATGACCGGTCTCTCCTCACTTGCAGACAACCCACAGGAGGAATGCCTGCAAAATGCCATGGAACGTTCGCTGAGGGTGACACTGCCTGGCAGAGATGGGTGGTTTCCAGGCTAACTACCGATGAGAGATGTACCTCCAGAGTAGGTACTGGCCATCCTTCTTTAGTGTTTGAGGCGCTTGTCTGGGTTTCTTGGGGTGAAAATCATTTCCAGCGTGCTGCAAGTCTCATCTGGGTGCAAGGACAAGTCATTTCTTTTCTGTATGTTTTCAACACAATTTCCTTTCAATGTCTTCACATGGAATCGTCTCAGAACTGTAACCAGGATGACTTTCATCATCACCATGGCGATGTACTTTCCTGCACAGCTTCGGGGCCCAAAACCAAACGGCTGAAAATACCTGTAAGGAACCTGTGAGAATGATCAGAGAGTTAGGCAGGTATTAAAGGCTAGAGACATGCATCTCTGATTCACCCTGAAAACATTGGTCAGTCAGAATGCTCCTTCACTGAGATGAATGACTGCAACTCAAATATGCCTTTTTCGCCATCCACTTTGATTCACCCTTTGTGATGTATGCCTAACCTCAGGCAGTCCCCAATTTTGCTTTTCACGTGCATGTGCTAGGGTAACACAATGCAGATCATCTTACTGCAGCCAGTGTCAGCATACTCAACCAGCTCTGTGGGACGACCACAGCTTTACTGTTCTTCTGCAAGCAGCCAAGGCAAAGACTGTTTTTGTGCAATGCCCTATAGCCTGATGACAAGGGACAAATTCAGGCAAAGATATGCAATCCTGGTCTATTAGTGCTGAGCATCAAAGTATTTTTAGGAATGCAGAAAAGTAATGGGGCCCTCATGTGTCAGTTTTGTCTGCATCTGAACTTAAGTAGTGCCTGGCACATAGTAGATGCTCAATAAGTTTTTTTGACCAGTTGTCAACATGGCATGGGTTGCTCATATAGGAACAGAATTAGAGAACTGGATTAATTAAGATCATGTCTTTCTCACCATATGCAAATGGAAAAAAAAGAGGAGTGAGGGAACTATCTAGATAATTCAGGTTAATGAACATCATTGCCTATAATTTGACATGATGGAAGCAGAATCTCCAGTATACTTCAATGATAGAAAAGAAAAAGCTGAAGTTCTTCTAATTACTATTTCAAATGGGACCTAGTGTGCATGGGGCCATTTGTTGAACCAAAGGCAGACTGCAGAAGTCAAATCTTTTGGTCCCATTTGATTTCTGTCTGAAGCAAAAAGGGACATTCCTTGGCTTAGATGGTGCTGTAGATGAATCTACATGGTGAAAAAGTGATAAGTTTAAATGGAAAAGAGGGTTGGTTGGGTTAAACAAAATTCATCTCATTTTAGCCAAATTTAAGGGCCTTGATTTTTCAGCTTTTGACCTGTGGTGTGGCCACCATGTGGACACTTCCCAGAGCTGGAGACCCAGCATCCTTGGCCTGAGGATGAATATGGCAGCCACATTTCAAGCCAGGGGAAACACGCCCCAGGGGGCAGTGGGGAGGTGGAGGTAAATGGAATGGAAATGTGCATGGTGCAAACACAGAATCAGAGTGGGCATGAACAGCTGGCGTTTTCAAGAGTGGCACACTTGGTTTTAAAGAAGGGCTCTTACATTCTTCGCAAAGTTTTCAAGAGTGAATTCATTGGGCTTGGGGAAAAACTCGAGTCTATGCATTCTTCCAATATTCAGGATAATGTTTGTCCCCTTTTTCACCCGGTAGCCATCAATGACATCGTCCTGTAAGGCTTTGCGCATGACCAAGTCCACGACAGGCTGGTACCGCATGCTCTCATAAATAAAATTTTCTACCATTTTTAATTTTTGCACATCATCAATCCTTATGTCTCTTTCACCTGTGGAAGCAGATAAAAAGGACAAGGTAATGTTAGTTTCAATAAGTGATGGGCATTAAAACTTTAGTTTCCACAGAACAGTTTGCTCTGGGTTGGCAAAAAATACATATTTCTAATATAAACCAGCAACCTGGGCCAAATATGTTTGGTCCACAGATTTGAAGCCAGGTATCTTAAAACCTAGGGTATATCATAGAAAAATCAGAAAAGCTGGTAACACTGGACCCATATCTCTGCTTGACAACAACGGGCTGAAGCTGAGTGGCCAGTGAACCCGTTAGAGGGCCATCCACCCTCTAGTCTCATGTGCCCCTACCCAATCTGCTTCAAGCGTTTATCTGCCTGACTTCTGAGGTCTTTGAGTTTTGTCCCCTACTCTAAATCCCTGGGGATATTCACTGCTTCTCTAGTCAAAGTGAGATGGTGAATTTAATTGGTTTCAGTGAATTTTCTCCTGGGGTTACCAGTGCAGACATTGTCCCAAGCATGTCACTGACAGTCCCTGCTATCCATCTCATTAAGAGCTACTTGTTGCAGTAGAGTGACAAGAACCCCTTCTCCCCACCACAGAAATATAGGTGCCTCAGATCAGCTGAGGGTGTGCTGGGCACCCCCCTACTGTCTCAGGTTGGCTCAACACTGGTCAGAGAGTCTCCGATTACTCCCCAAACTGGCAAAACTTCAGAGCGTCCTCAAGCAGGCTACCACTTCTGCAGAATCAACATCAGCCCAGCATCCTGAGGCAGCCCTGTCCCCTGTGCAAGTGCAGCATTGAGGAAAAATCTCATTTGGTCAGAACTCTATCTGCCCTGCTCTTCAGCTACTGCTCCTTGTACACTCAAGAGTCTCATAGGGCATGTTTAATTGGGGTGGAGAGGTAGGTGGGAAGGTGACAGAGAAAGCAGCCAAAAGCTGACCCTAGGAAGTAATTGCCATGCACGTGTATCTTGAGGGAGCACAAACATATGTACAAATGGCTTTCCGCTGCTTCTCCATCTTTGCAGAAGTCTCTTAAGAAGTGTCAGGGGAACATCACAGGGCACAAACACTTTTTACCTCTCCAGGAAATTGTATTAGAGGCTTATGGTCTCAAAAGCAGTTTTCCCCTTGTTCCCTGAACTCCACCATCCCACAGCTCTCTCTCCACTCCACTCGCTTGTTGGGTTCTCTTTTTTCCACCTGCCTGTAAGCCCCACCTGGCACAGAACCTGTAACCTGACAGGGGACGCTTGAGAAAACATTCTGGAATCTGGCTCCTTGCTACCTACCTTACCAGGCAATTTCCCACCTACAGCAACACATCTGTAGACCCCTTCTTTCACACATCTAACCCTTCTGTGAAATTGCCCCTTACTGTCAACTATTTCAAGTAGCACTCAGACGGTTTTTAAAAGATGGTGCCTTTCCATGACCAAATAATTTGTGTCACAGGGATTGTGTAAGGCCAAGCGAGAAAGGTCTATGGCATTGCTGATATCACTTCACACATGCCAGAAAGTGTTCCTAAAAAGATTATCCATGTGAAGAACATTCCAAATAACGGGGATTCTGTTTTCTCCCAGAGAGCAGTTCTGATTTCCTCCAAATGTGCAGTGTTTCTGGGGAAGGGTGGTGACGTCAAGAGCAGGTGGCAGAGTAACAGTGAAGCAGCGGCAGAGCAGGGGAGAGGCGGTGCCGGGAAGAGCTGAGCAGGGACCCAGGGCTCCCCTGCAGAGGAGGAGGAGAGGGCAGGGGAAGAGGCGCCACATCACTGCTTTTGGGGGTAGAAGGAAACCGGCCACTCCCCTGCCTTTGCTGTCACCCTCTCCTCCTCCTCCTGCCACCAACTGGAAGTTCATTTGTGGGTGGACTGCTTGAACCCGGAAACACTGCTGTAAACAATAGCCATTTTCCCGGGGCTGCCCGCAGAAAAGCCTTTCCTCACTGATAAGGCAGGCAGAACATTGTACTTGATGCCATGTTGTTTTAAAACAGACAGATACAGCCATTGGTAACTTTTTGTGCACAAAAAGACCTTGAAGAACACACAGTAAACTATTGAGTGGTTTCTCCCTGGGGAATGGGTAGAGAAGGAAGGGACTGAAAGATCTCACTGTCTGCTTTATGCATCTCTTTGTTGTTTGAATGTTTTCAACAAGCATGTATTACTTTTACAGTTAAAACAGGGAAATAACTATCTTTTCAACCTTTCTGGCCTAATCAAACTGTGACAAAATGACTAGGTCTGTTGTTCTCTCGGTGGATTATCATAAAGGTTTTGTTTGATATCAGATCCTTAGGACATAAGCTGACATGCAGAAGGAACTGGGTTCTAAGCTCTTATTCACTTGATAAATTCTCACCAACAACGGTCTGGATTTCCTTCATTATTGCCTCTTCCACCTTGGGGTGCTGGGCAATGAGAAAGAGCATGAAGAACACGCTGACAGACATGGTGTCGGGAGCTGCGATCATCATTTCCAGAATGCACTGGTTCACGTTCTCCCTTGTCAGATCACCGCGCTTCTGGAGAATTGGAGGAGGAGAAACATGGGAAAAGTGAACCCAAATTTCAGAAAGGAGGGGAGGTGACTCTCGAGGATCAAAACCTCCAACAAAATGAAATCATAGGAATTACATGTCTTTGTAATCGACTGTGGACATTGTTTTCATGACAATCTTCAGCTGAAAGCTGAACAAGGTAGCCAATTATCTACGTATTTCCTGTCTTTGGCTGGCCGCCCGGCTTTTCACATTTTGTATCGTGGGGATGCAGAGTAGTTTCGATCGTAAAGGTCAGCCTTAACAAAACTCCTAATGAGTAGGCTCTTTGAGTTGGGCCATTAGAGAAGCGCTAGAGCAAATACTTGAAGCAGAAATAGGCAACAATTTCAAGAGGGGATTTTTACAACACACCTGTACACGGTCATACACATATGTTAGTTCAGGCCATTACGGTTAGTTCAGGCCATTACCTCTGCAAAAATCAACTCAGTGGCAAAATCCATACAGTCTTCCAGTTTCTCTGCTGAGGAAATCCTGCGTCTTTTTTCTTCTACCAGAATTTCCATGGCATCTTTCATATCCTTGCTGGAAAAAAAGGGGGGGAATGTTATCTATCTGTTCTCAGTTAAGACATCTAGAAAAATGAATTCGTTTTCCATTGTTTCAATAAAGTGATCTGCTTTAATTGAGGTCTGTTAGTGCTCATGAATGACTGAATTTATACTTAATTCTTCACAAATGTCCTCAAATTACATATGTATTATATTTCATGTTAGGAACTGGTTAGTTAAGATTTCTCGGTACTGATGGCAAAGCCAAAACCTTTAAGTCTAGTTGAGGATTAAAAACTGGTACCAAAAGGCTGAATCAATCATATTTTTGGGTTTTCAATTCGGCCAGCACGGTGTTTAAATTATAGCCCAAACCAGGGAATGTCTGTCGGGGGGTGGTGTGGGGGCCTGCACTCTCCAGTTGGACACAGGCCCCTCCATTTCCTGTTGTCTCATATCCACCCAGTCCCCTACTGGCCTAGCACTAAAGACTACTGAGTTTGCAATTCCTGTTCTAGAAAGTAAACTCAAGTGATCAAGATCATTCTTGATGTTTACTCTCATATCTTGAAGGTTTTGCCAGACAGTAAAAACTAAGTAAATATTTCTTGAATGACTGGCCACATAAATATGTATGTGCATTTTTACAGTGTGGCAGAGGGTCAGGTATTGAACTTCAAAATACACAAGCGAGATAAAGCTAGATCTTGAAACAAATCTGGGGACTTTTAGAGATGGAGAGTTTAGATGGCCAGGGACATCTGGGGAAGATATGAACAGAGGGAAGAGAAAAACTAACATTTAGGGCCTATTATGGGTCATGCTCTGTGCTAATTGCCCTGCATATAGATCTCATTAAGCTATATACCCACTGTGGAAGGTAGGTTATATTTTACTTTAAATAACTTCCCAAGGCCATTTAGTTACTAGGTGGTAGAGAAAGGATACAAACCAGGTCTGTCTGTCTCTAGACCCTATGGGCTTTCCACTGGTGGTTAGAAGTGGCAGTTTCTAATGGCTGGCTACTTACATTCGGAAAACCCATTGATTAGCCTGTAGGTCATTGGGCATTTGTCCAGTTTTCTGCTAGGCTAGCCTAAGACCAAAGCAAAGCCATTTAACGGCAGTTTCAGGTTCCCCCCCAAATCACAAGATACATAACTAAAAAAACCCCACAATTTATTGAAGTTCATTATGTTCATTATGAAAAACTTCTTTTGTGACTATTGCTAGTTTCTATTGAAAGTTGGATTATGTTAAATTTATTCAGAATCAACACAGCTATAAAATGATTGTTTCCATTTTTCCAGACATGCAAAGGGAATTTGGACAGATAATAGTGATAGGGTCAGACAACCCTTGTCTTCAACTCAAAATACACTACAGCGTGCTAGTTCCAGAGATGGAGCTCTCAGACCGCACACTTAGTCCCCCTGCTGAAAAAAATGCCTGCGCCAAAGGCTTCCTTTACTCTTTGGTCTGACCACACGCAGCCAAATTACTGTAAGAAGTGTTTCACCAGGCACTCAGTCAACAGCCCCTCTGTAGGCTCTGGGGAGCAGAAACAGTGACAGGGTGGCCAACAACAGCAAAGACACACCCATCATCAATCCCTGATCTCACTGACAAATTTCCTGAGCATGTGTTACTTACACAGACTTCTCATACTTTTTGTATAGCCAAGAAATCTTAAAGAAGATGTCTGGTTTGAGAAGGAGAGCTTGCCATGCTTCAAAGTAACCACGGATTTTAGCCACGAGGGCCCTTCCTGGGGAGAAAAAAAAAAGCATTTGAGCAAAAACTGTGAATCTGAGAAAGGCACGCTGAGCAGAGAAGATTCCGACTCTCCTACCAGTCTTGTGGTCTAAGCTGGGCAGGGTTCCCCTTTCAGTGTGCATTTCAGCCATGTGAGCACTATTAGACAAATCAACGCTAATTTATTCTGTCGGGCCTCTAAACCAGCCAAGTTAACCAGAGATTTGCCAGTTTTCGGGTTTGTGTTAGAGACACAGCCTAGAATCTCATGTGCCCCTCTTTTGCTGAGACTCCAACTCTCTGCTCTGTTTCTGGGCAATGGGCAATGAGAAGAGCAGAAGTAATTATGGCTGTTACGGCATAAATTCTGGTACCTGGGAGGGCAAAAAGCCACATCATTTTCCTGTTTATATTTTGGTCCAGAGTGTAGAATTCGTCTCAGTATCTCTAATGCCTTGTTCTGAGCTTTATGCACAGTCAGCTCTTTATGAATGTTCTTTAATTAAGTTGAATGCTAAGGGAAAGAAAACCCCTGCTTTTTTAGAAAATTATCCAAAAAGGAAGGGAATGGGCATTTGTTTTCAACTGTTAAATACTAGCCCCCATGCAAGGTGCTTTATGAAAGAGACCTCATTTAATCTTTACAATCTTGCTAGGTTTCATCATCACTTTGTAGATGGAGAAACTGCAGTTCATAGAAATTAAAAAGCTTGCCTAATACCATAGAGCCAGTGTAGTAGACAGGCCCTTAGGCTAGAGCCTGGTTCTATCTGAACTCAGGGCAATACCCTTTCCGCTTTGTGGCACTAGGTCCCTTAGGCCAACTGAGAGTTTAACAAGGCCTGGGTGAGGAGAAGGTAAATAAACAGCTCTGGGTGAGGAGAAGGGTTATGCAGGTTCTTGGCATCACAGTCTGTACTTATTAGATAACATACTGACAATTCCCTCTACTTGGTCCTTCTTAAGAACAGGGCTAGTGGGACACCAAGGAGCGGGCACTTATTAAACATGCACTTGCCTAACCTTGGGAGAGATGTGTGTAGAACAGGCAAGCTGGGGTCAGAGTCCCTGTCTGAAAGGGGATCAGGCAGGAGGGTGTGCCTAAAAGTCCTCAGCATGAATGGGGTCTCCCATGCAAATGGCGATCAGATGAGGTTTCTATGACTCTTGTAAGGAGTAATTAAAGAGCAGGTGAGATGAGACAAGGTGAGCTGAAGAAGAGGGAGGGAGGGTGGACAACCCATCTTTTTGCCCAAATGTGGTAAATCAGGCTGCAGGTTACAGCTTGGCAGGTTTGGTCAAGTGTTAAAATTGTGCCTTGTTCTTGTGCCTGTAATATTCCTCCCTGAGACCTGCACGTGGCTCATGGCCTCCTGTCATTTAGGCTTGTGATCAGATGTCCTCTCTGAAGAGTGCTTTCCTAACCATCTAATAATAGCCCTGCCCTGCCCACTGACCTCCCCCTTCACTTTCTATTGCCTCGCCTGGTATTGCTTTACTTTAAGGTGCTTACTACTACCTCACACTGTGAGGTACTAACTTCGCTTCGTGTCCACATCCCCATTGGGGTGTGAGCTCCTTAAAGGCAAAGACTTCATCTGCCTTGTTCACTGCTCTATCCCCAGGACCTAGAACAGTGCTCGACATCATTAGGCAATTAATAAATATTTGTCAAATGAATGTGCAAATCAATGAACACTGCTAGAAATTAATTCAGAAAAATTGCATTTGCTGGGCAACAGTGGAATGGAATTAGTCCAAATGATTCATGTTTGGTTTTGGGTGGTGGTAGAGTTTTAGGTGTGTGTTTTAATATTTATTTCTATAGCACAGCGAGGAAACTAGTTTTTTGAGTGAGACATCTTGCCAGGGTTGTTATGAATGTGAAATGACAACCTATACATAAAGCAACTTTTTAAACTGCTTGGTACATGGTAGGTACTAAATCAATGGTAGATATTGTCAACATTTCCAGCAACCACACCATTATCATCATATAGACAAAGTTTTCACACTTAGTAGCTTTGAGGGAGGGTATTTGTGTATGTGTGTGTGTGTGTGTGTGTGTGTGTATGTATACATGTGTGCATATACAGCTTATGCCCAAAAGAATGATTGGAAATAGTTAAATATATCAGTTTGATTGGTTGTAGGATACATTAATGACCAAATGAACTGATCACCTTTGTAAAGTTTTGACTGTGGGCAGAATCCTATTTCCTAGAGCAATGAGGAGAGACACAAAAGAAATAGAAGATGGCCCCTACTTTACAGAAATTTATAACATAAGTGAACAAGGCAGACACACTAGGAAAAGATGTTTAAACAAGAGCAATGCTTGTTTAAGAAGCAATGCATCTTTGCTTGAGTCAGCTATCTTCCTCATCCCCTTATTCACCAAAAGGCAGAATGTTAAGTCATAAGAATGAAAATTCCACTACCGTCCAAGGGGATCCTCAGGAAGAGGACGTTAGAAGTGTCCAGCATGATGCGCCGCATGAGGGTCAATACGTCGACGTAGCCCAACTCATTGCTGACCTCCTCCAACCTGTCCAGGTGTGTTGTAATGGATTCAACACAAACTGTCACCATGCGCACAAGGCCGGGGCCGGACAGAGCTGAAGGAAGCACATTGGAGACTGAGCCATCACAAACTCTAGGGCATGTACAATCAGGCAATTCTGGCTTTTTATGTTTGGGGCTTAACTGGCCACAATTTTTTATTCAATAGCTGGGTAGAAATTTTCTTATTTTAAAAATACTTTTCTGTAGTCTCCTGATTTTCTACAAGCATGTATCACCTTTAAGGTTCAAAATGAACGAACGATCGAACAAATGATTCTTATTTTAAACATACTATTCAAAATACAACTTTTCTTCATGCTTTGGCAAATTTGTGAGATTGCAAATGAAACAACTAGTACTTATGGTCACAAGTCACAAATCAGTGGTTTTTCATATTTATTGTATATATTTCCTCTAAAGAAGGCTTGGATTTGGCCAGTGTGATGTTTAGTTTATGTTTCAACAGGTGGCAGGATACCGCTGTAGAACTGGTCAAATTGGACCTTGACTAAGGTCTAAGATGCTTCCTATTTAATGCTAGTTTATATGTTTAAAATGCTAGTCTTGTAAATAATTGAAACTGCCCTTCTCTTAATTTTGGTTTCTCTTTAAACTACTTCCAGATTTATTCTACTCAACCAGTGTCTCATGAGCTAAGCAATTCTTTGTTTAGCAGCTCTCCGCACTGGACTGGGGATTCTTTTAAGGGTAGTGACAATCTCCTATTAGCCTTGTTATGTCAAGTCCATAGAACTGACGGCCCTCAAAGCCCGGTTGTCAAACAGGAATGAATGGACAGATGGATGGATGAAGGAATGAATGAAAACAGTGAACTGGCTCTCATCTTACCCTTTGCTCCTGATCTGAGCAGCTAGTAGGTGATCTGTTGTTTAACACTTAAAGTTCCCCTTTCTCTCTTTGTTCTAAGTTTAAGTTTTCTTTATAAGTGATCTCTCTTTTTTTATGTCTTTTATGATTCAGATTTACTGTTAAAGTCAGAATCTTTGAAATGCACTAGAAAATCCTGGGGAACTTTGTAGGCAAAATTCTCTCTTTAAAAAAAAAAGGACATCAGTTGTGCTGCAGAAGCCCCTGAGGGCAAACTTTGTAAATAAGAAAGGAGTCCTGGTGAGGCCTTAGACTCTTAGGCTTTCTACTTGCATGTAAAAAGGAAAGTTGGGTTGTAGCATACTTTCTGACTGTAGGAAGGACAGGGCAGATGTGAAAGGCCAGTATGCTGTTTCCTGGGTATCTACCACACCACAAGTGGGACAAATAATTCCTTCATGACTCATAACCCTTTGAATAGAAGGATTGGCTTTGAATATCATCGGTGGTTTTCTCCCAGGTGTAAGAATGATTTACCTCTACGTCTAAGAGCTTGAAGCCACATTTCAAACTTATAAACAAAATACCATTGCTTATAGGAAGTGGTGTGATGTAGACATGGTTTTTAAAATTAAAAAAATGCTTTTAATTATTTTGTGCTAAAACGTGCTTAATCTTTTCCAGGCTAAAAAATAAAAATATAAAAAAATAAATGAGCAAGTGATTAGCAAATTCCATCACCATAGACAACTCTCTTTGCAGTTTCAGGAAACCCGGACTATTTCTTGCCCCTCCACTTTCATTCCTCCAGAAAGGGCCATTGCCTAAGTAGCCTAACTGTTTCTCCATAGACACACCCAGTCAATACCTTCATTAATGTCACTACTTTGTATACCAAACCTATTCCAAACTTTCTGCTACGTCAGGAAAACCAACCAGGAAGGAAACTCTAAAGGAGATTCATCAAGAAATGCTTGGTCCCCTCACTGATTACTAAAAATGTCAGTCACAGCAGTCAACTGTCAGTAAGTAATTAGCCCCCTACTTTTGGCATTTAATTTGGGTCCAGTGTATTACATCATTATTAGAAAACCTGATCTTCCATACATAGGGCTAATCTAAAGAAGTCAGAGTTGTTCTGATCAGTTTCCAAGTGCTGTAGTTCTCCTCTTTTAACATCCCTTAAACTGGTCCCTTGCCCTCACTCCACCCAGCATCACCACAGTAGCTCTGAACTTTCTTCTTCGCACAGTCATGCTTCCTTCTACTGTTCACCCTGCTGCCAGGGGAGTTTTTCTAAAATTTTGCTTAAAATCTTGGATGATTTCGCATGGCTCTTGAGATGAGCTCAGCCCCGTGGCTTAGCGCGGGAGTCTTGGTGGGCCTGCCTCGGCCTCACACCCGCATGCACCCACGCCAGGCACAAGGGCCTGCTTACGGTTCTCTGGACATGTAGTGCTGACCTGTCCTTCTCCCCTGGGAGTGTCCTGTTCTTTCTTCCATGGACTCTGTCCTTGTCACACTTTCTTAATTTAGGTAGTCTTTCTCTTTTTTCAAAACTCATCATAAGCATCCACTCCTCTGGAAAGGACCCCCCGCTCTCCCTGATCCTGTAGTGTACCTCACGCTGCCCGTTTGTCTGCTCTGTAGCGCTCTGCACGTGCCTCTAGTGCAGTACATCACCTAGGGCATTATTTGGTGATTATTGACCTGCCACTCTGCCCCCTCTCCCAGTCATAAATTCGTCAAGGGCGAGGATCATGTCTTGTTTATCATTGTATTCTGGGCACTTGTTCAATGATGAGAACACAGTTGTTAAATAATTGGGTGAACTTTAAGATTCTATTCGTGCATAGCGGGGTAGAGGATGCTGGTATGTGAAAGTTAACTTCTCCTGAATACTATACTAGTTCATGTATTCCTAATACACCTGGGCCAAATGATAAAGTAAAAAAATATGTATTTCTATAGGCTCTTATAGCATTATTTCACTTACTCTTTGCAATAACCCTTGAATTCAAGTTCTATAGTATTTAGTCACCTTTTGTGGATAAGGGAAATGAAGCTCAGAGAGGCTAAGTGACTTGTCTGAGGTCATTCATATAAAGTGGCAAAGCTGGAACTCGAACCCACAACCTATAATCCTGAATCCTATACTCTTTCCATTAATCCATCCTGTAATTTTGTTAGGCATTAGAGAATTGATCTGCCTCAACATGAGTAGTAGGCAGCTTAATAGCCCCCTGAAATTGTCCAGAACTGAGAAGGACTAAAATTCTTTAATTTTATTTACAGATTGCTTTCTGTTTAAGCACCTGGGATGTCAGTCAATGAGCAAACATATCATTTAGCTATGTTTAAATCGAACTTGTAGCTGAAACACTGAATTGTTAGTTGGAATGATCCTAAGTACAGAGCTCCGCCTCTTCTTCACATCCATGAAATCGCTTTATGTAGCAACAGGAGGAGTGAAATTTGTGGTAGTTAAAAATGTAGACTCCTGGACCACCATTTACTCATGTTGGAACCTTGGGCTACTTATTTAACCTCTTTATGCCTCAGTTTTCTCATTTGTAAAATGCAGGTGATAAAAGTATTTGCCACATGGGGTTGCTGTGGGATCAAAATATCGAGGGCTTAGACTGGTGCCTACTATATAGTAAATGTATAATGAATGTTAGCTCTTATTACTTCAAAACTGTGAAGCAACAGAATTTAAAAATGATTTTTTTAAAAAAAGTACATTCATAGACAAAAGAGCAGACTATAACCAGGCATCTGATTACCTTTTATAAAGAAAGGTCGAACAGCTTTCCAGAGGGCTGGATTATTGTTAAATATGATGCCATTTTCGTGCATGCCGATGCACTGCAACCCCAGTTTGCTGCCAAATCGGGAGACGTAGTGATTGTGCTTCATTACATGGAACATACCTGAGGACCTTCAGAGAAAGCAAACCTTGGTGTTAATTTGTTAGGGTCAAGAGAACTCATGGTGATGGTTTTGATGACCAGGTGGCTCTCTTAGTGCATTCATGTTGCTCTAAATGCAGTGCATGATTTCCAATATTCAGGGTGAATAAACATTTCTGTTCACATAAGAACATCCCACTCCAGTTGAAACATTTCTACCTACTGACTCCCTATATGAGCATCATGAAAGATAAAACACACACACACACACACACACACACTCACTCACTCACTCACTCACTCACTCATTCACTCACTCACTCCTTATTTCCCTTTCTTTTCTAACCCCAAGTCACCAAAGTGCTACCTGCTACTGGGGTTAGAGCTGCAAGGTTTTAGAACACTGACCTCTCCACACCCCCAGGCCCCCAGCTACCGTCCAGCCCCACTCCAGACAGTGCTACCCATGCAGAAGTGAGTCTGGAATGGAGTGTCAGTGGAATTTCTAAGTTTTATCTCTTTAGTTTGCAACCAGCAATTCCATCTAGTACCACCCATGCCAGAGTCTCTAATCAGGCCTCATCCCTCCAGTGGGGTGTCATTCTGGTCTTGAAGGACCTCTCCTGTGCTCTCCTGGCCTGGGGCTTTGTGGGCTGGGGGGGGGTCCTGAAGCCTGTCTGCAGTGGTGACTATCTTGGTGACAGGCTGCTGTCTTGGGCCTCTGCATTCATGACACATCAAGGTCTTCAGGATCACCGAATTCTCCCAAGTTATTATTGTATATGGTGAGCCATTTAATAGCCCTTGATGTTGCACCACTGGGACCTTGCCAGTAACCCAGGCTTCTGAAGTCCCTGGGTCCTCCTCACTGTTCTGCCTCTATCCCCACCGCCTTCAGCGATCCTCAGGAGGAGGAGGCTGCCTCTGTCTCTCCCTCCCCACCCACTTCCCCTTCTGGGAGCTGCTTCTGGCCAGCATATCCTACTCCACTTGCGGCCTGATGAGGCACTGAGGGTTCTAAACAGTTAAGAAACTCTAGGTGATGAAGTCATAGGGGCTTACACATGTGAAGAGAACATTATTTTCTTGGGACAACAGTACAGATTTCTTCTGTAGAGGGAGATTCACTTTGTTGAGATGTTTTATTAAACTGCTTAGAAGTTAGCCTATGGCATTGAAAGGCTAAATGGATAATTTAATTGCTTTAATCATCAAAAGGATAAAGGATAAAGGGATAATTATTATTTTCAGAATAAGTGGTAGGGGTTTACTGGATGTTGGGTACAAGCAACATAAGGGAGGGCGGAGGGGAAAGATCTGGAATGAATGCTGCCTGTGAGGATTTGGGGAGGAGAGGACCCCTGGAGGAGTGCTTAGCCAAAACGGGGCTTTAGGAGAAAAGAAATATGTTGGGAATTTATAAAGTTGAGAGATGTGGAGTAGATGAAATAAATATTTTTCAACTACCAAGAGAAAAATTAAGAAATGCTGTGGGTGACTGTATTTCCTGTGGGAAGGGGCTGAGGCCCAACAGGAGGTGAGTGCAGGGCTCGGAGGGAAGCAGGCTACCTGGACGGGGGCTGAGTGAGGGCTGTGGCCACAAACAGCGTGGGTTAGGGAACCCAAGTCAAAGATGGCACGCGCTAATAAGCTGTGCGGCTAACCCTCTGTATGGGGTGGGCGAGGTAGGTGGTGGGGCCACAAAGTCAGGTGGGGTGGTGTCTGTCTGAGGACAGAGAGGATGATAAACAGGACATGTGGTGTTTATGTGCCCGTTGTTTTCATAAATGCCAATATCATATTGCAGGTATAGATCAGACACAAACACCACTTGGAGAAATCAAATGTTTTCTAAATATCTAAAGGATATAGAAGGAAGTCAGAAAAGTGACAATATATGGCAGATAAAACAGGATGGAAAGGAGGTACAGGCAGCCAGACCCCCAGATCCTCACCCACAGGGGTGCCTGGTTATGGTGAGTGAGTGAGGAAAGAGTTCGTGTCTCAACCACCTCCCTGCACAGTCCAGCCTTTACGTGCATAAAGCTGGAGTGTGCAACCTCTGAGGCGCGGGGCCCTCAACCATCCCTGCGCCGCTGAGTAGCAAAGAGATCAAGGTACATAGAGGACCACAGAGTTAATGCCAGGCACAAACAAGTCTCCATCATCAGTCACCCTCTGCCTGCCTATGCTAACGAAGCATGTCTAAGTACATACATTACCCAGACTCCTCTCTGGGGTGCGGTAACAGGCTCTTCAGAATACAAGGTCTGTAATCATGTGTGGCTGCCATGGCCAAATGCAAATTCCCTTAGTAAAATGTAAGCAGAGGCAGATTTACTTCTCTCCATATATTCTTCTGCAACTTCAAGTAACTTCCACTTGAGTATACTCAAATTAATAACCATTTTTCTTGGAGATAATGAGAAAAAGAGAACAGGGTTTGGGAATCAAAAAGGGGCAGAGAGGTTGGGAGAGAAGGAGTAGAGGTTTCCTGCAGGGCAACTATGGGGCACAGGAAGAAAGCTGACTCAGGGCCATCTGCCATTGGTCTGCCTTTTGGCTGAGTTCACAGGGTAGGAGCCAGGCCATGTATAAAAGCTGCCACTGTGCATGCTCTGGTGGGGAGCTGCCACAGGCAGAGCTAAGGTGATGTGACCCTTGACTTTGGGGCTCAAGAACTAAATGGCCCAGGTCTGCTACGTAGGTTGAAATAGATCCCCTCGAGATTTATCCATGTGAGGATTATAAATTATGCCACATCCCTGAACTCAGAGTGGAGGTTGGAGTGGAGTTCAGAGGCACAGACCATAAAATTAGAAAGGGACCAAACATTTGAGCACAGTAATAGAAATAAAATATGCCCATTATTTCAAGAAAGCAAAATATATTTATAAACATCTTGCTGGTATACTGTAAAGGAGGGATAAGCTGCACGTTTTTCATGTGTGCAAGAGATAGAAGATGGAAAGTAACTGCATAGTGCCCAATTGTGCAAATTTTAGAAGCATAAAACATCATTGATATTATCTTTAGATGCTGTTTTTTTTTTTTGTGAACTTAATTATCCAAGTTTTTGTATGTTCACTACATCTTTGGTCCTTCCTCCCCCCCACTTCTCCACTGAAATTTTGTTTCTCTACTGCAAATTCTCATACTCTGGGGGTTTTCTGAACACTTAACTGGATGGAAGTGGCTGCCAGTATATGCAACTGGTTCTTACACTGGGCTGGAGTGGTCTTAACACTTGCTTCTCACTCTCAAATGGACTCTCAGCTCCTGTAAGGATGACTCTGCCTTGATGAGGGGCCCAGCTCATGCCTGTGGTCACACATTCCCATTGAAGACACTGGGCCAGAGGAGCCCTGCTCTGCTGAGTAGATGAGGTTGCGGCTTAAGTATTAGCCAAACCCTCACAGATTCCATAGTCCTTTTAAATTTTAAAAGAAAGCCCTGAAATAATGGCATTGCCAAGAATGAAAACAGAATGTTATTATATGAGCAAACTATTTCCTTAATATGTATTTCAGGGAAAAAAAAATCTTATCTTCAAATTAAAATTCTCTCCATTAAGTCAATGTTCTCTTAATTTGATTCCAGATAATATTCATCAAATGATCCTGGGCCTTTTTTGGACAAGTTTTCTTCTTCCTAGCAACAAAATCAAAAGCAAAAATCCAGATGCTCCTATTTGTAGTCCAGGGATTTAATTTGACTGAAAGAACTAAAATTTTATCCCGTATAGAAAAATCATGCTATAGAAAGGACTGAAATTCTTATTGAACAGATCTCAGAACTCCAGCTTTTCTTACCTTCCCTACCTCATTCTATAATTAAAGCCAAAAGGAAATTTGTATACTCTTAGTTCACAGGTTTGTATCTAAAACATTTAAGTGCTTAGAACTTAAAGCAGAACACTATTTTTTTGCTCTGACCCTAGAGATTTTGCATCTTGCATTAACCACACTGGCTTGTCCATTTTATTTTGAGGAATTACTAATCAAGTTAAAAGAGAGAACATGAAACCCCAAACTGTGAGCTAATTTTTAAAATCAATGTGTCCTGTAGGGGGCGCCAACATCTCAGTTATTTTGAGTTAGAGGCTCAGACTTGGCAAGGCAGAAACGTGACAGCAAGTGAAGCCTGACTGGCGGCTGCTGAGCAATTTAAAACAGGGCCTTTTTAGGCAAAGGTAGGCTGGCTTTCTAACCAGAACAAATTGGGAAAGTGAAGAGCTAGGGCCCCCAGCCCAGAGCTCTCTGGGCAGTCAGGACACCGGTAGAGACCTGGCCTTTGCCCTGTGGGCCGGCCTGTGGCCCCGTTGAGGGAGGTGTACTACTTACTGCCTGGGAGAATGAGGATTTCTCACCTCTTAAGAGAAGCCAGGCGAGTTTCCAACCTCAGAAAGGACAGTGGGTAGCGTATGTTGGTTACTGGGGTCATTGTTCTCGTTTAAACATGACTGAAGTCAAACGACATCTCCAAAGATGGCAAACCTATTTTCTATTCAAAATGAAAAGTGGCCAGGAAGTGGCCTCAGAAGCTACTTGGGTTCTCAGGTGGTGAGGAGGAAGCCACCCTCCAGTTCTGAATTTAAAGAATGCACACATCTGTGCCAGGGTCAAGAGTGACGAGCGCTAGAAATATGGAGAAGATGATTAATGGAGGAATTGGTACCAAACATTGTAAAAAAACACTTGCCTTGTGTAGGCCTGTTTGGTGCCTGACTCTCAGGCTCCAACAGTCTTACTGCCTTCTCACTGTCCTTCGCCCCTCTAACATCCTCACTTACCCAGCTGAAATTCTGGGGTCACCTCAAGAGCAAAACAAGCTTTATAATGGAGAGATCTGAGTGTAACTCCCCTAACCAAGCCATCATATTTAGCATCACTAATAGTGGGACCACCTTTCCTTCTCTCCAGATAGGATGCAATGTGAAGTGCCTGGTACAACCCGGAAAATATTACAAAAAGCAGGCTGAATATAAATGGGCCCTAAGGCTTAATTTTCAGTTTATAAGAAATACAAG